AAGGGAGAGATATAGAGAGAAACATCAGTGGTGAGAGAGCCATAGCTGGGCCAGTGCATCAGGTCTGGAATGAGGCTCATCGTCCTTGGCATCGCAGCTCCCAGAGGCTGCAGGATACGGGGGGAGCAGGACCGGGTCAGGTGCAGGCTCAGCGGAGGGTACGTCTCCCAGGGGGCGGCCTCAGGGACGCAGGGGCCCGGGGCCCCGCCTGGGGAGGGGGCCTGTGGTGGGAGGTGGGTGCCCCCAGCACTAGCCACTGGCTCTTCGCTGCTGCCTGCTCGGCCCCTGCAGTAGCTCTGCATGGTGGTGGCCGGTCCTCCAATCCCCACCGGGGGACTCAGAGTTGGGGTGCTGGGAAGAGGCCACCCCAGGGGGGCCCAGGGTTCCCCATAACCCCTGCAGGGTGGGAGCTGTCGCCTGCACCGGCGGCCTTGGAGGGTGAGTGAGGACTCAGTCACACGCAGGGGGTCGGGGGGGCAGAACAGGAAGTGGGGGTGCAGGCCCTGGGGGGACACACGCTGAATCCTGCGTCCAGCGCCCCAGGCCGGCTTCCTCTCAGAGCCTCTCCCTCCAGCCCCCCTGTCCCCCCTGCCCACCCAGCCATGCACCAGAGGCAGCAGCGGGTCTGCGGGGTCCCCCAGGCCGCCCTGCGTCCGCGGGACAGACATCCCGGCTGGACGGGCCCACGGCCAGCCTCGCCCTTCCTCCGTCCCCTGAGCTCAGGCCCCGAACCCGCGCGCCTCCGGGTCCGCTCTGCGCCCCGCCGCCCCTTCTCCGGCCCGTCCCGGAGCGCAGGGCGGGTGGATACCGGCCGGCCGGCCGCCTCCAGTTCGGGGCGCCCTCAGGGCGGGGCCCCGCCGGCCGAAGCCCCCGCCCCGGCCCTGCTGCCTCCGCCGGGCGGGCGGCTCGGACCGGATCTGGGCCTGAGTTTTCCAGTTGGAATTGTCTGGCCAAACCCCAAACCCCGGAACCCTCCCTCCCCGGCGCCCCTGCCACCCGGAGCCCGGCCAGGCCGCACCCCTGCCGCACCGGCCCCACCCACCCACCACGCCCCGCCCCTTCCACACTACGCCCCTCCCCTCCAACAGCGGCCCCGCCCACCTGCCGCCACAGGCCCCGCCCACCCCTCCCGGTCACACCCGCCGCCACGCCCGCCCGCCCCGCGGTCAGCGTCGCCCGGCTGCCCCCCAGCGGCCGCGCGGGGAGTGACAGGCTCTGCTGTGTTTGCGGGCCGAGGTCACCCCCACCCAGGCTTGTCCATCCTCACCTGGGTCTCATTGGGGGGAAGGGTCAGTTCCGCGTTTGGGAGACGGAGGAGGAGCCAGGAAGGCACACGCCCCTATAAGAGGGCGGTAGGCGTGGCCCTGACCCAGAGTGTGGGGTGGAGGCCGTGCTGTGCCTGGGTCACCCTTGGGGTCAGTGATAGGGCCCGGGGTCAGGGTTCATGCTGGGGAGAGTCAGGGTTAGGGGCCATAGATGGTGACCAGTGGCACTCATAATTGTTAGGATTTCGCCTGATTTAAAAAATATATTTTTATTGATTTCAGAGAGGGAGAGGGATAGAAACATCGATGAGAACATAATTGATTCGCTGTATGCCCCCTTCTGGGGATGTGCCCCCACTGGCAACCTCTTGGTGCGCGGGATGGCGCTCAACTAAGTGAGCCACCGACCAGGGCAGGAGTGACTTTCTTTGTATGTCTAGCCCTGGGTGGTGTGGCTCAGTGGATAGAGCATCAGCCTGTGGACTGAATGGTCCTAGGTTCAATTATGGCCAAGGGCATATACATTGGTTGTGGGCACCTCCCTAGTAGAGAGTGTGCAGGAGTCTGCTGGCCGATGTTTCTAACTCTCTATCCCTCTCCCTTCCTCTCTGTAAAGAATAAAAATATATTAAAAAATATATATGTCTAGCCCTGGCTGGTTTGTCACAGGTGATAGAGCCTCCGGACTTTAGGGTCCCAGGTCTGATTCCAGGCAAGGGCACAGGTCTGGGTTGTAGGCTCCATCCTCAGTGTGTGTGGGGGGGCATACAGGAGGCAGCTGATCCATGATTCTCTCTCAGCATTGATGTTTCTCTCTCCTTTCCTCTCTGAAATCAATTAAAATATATTTTATATATTTTTTAAAGTCACTGAGGCCTGGGGCTCAAAAGCCCACTGGCCTTTGGCAGGAGGATGGGAGCCACCGGCCAATGACTCGCCCACAAGAGGCCGAGAAGACTGGGGAGTTCTGTGCTTATCTGAGCCAAACGGCCACACAGGTGGGAGGAGGGCTCGGGTGCTCCCGGGAAGGCATTCGCAGCTGCTTTCCCGTTTTGTGAAGGGCCGCCCTGGCCAGTGTGGCTCAGGGGAGTGTTGGCCTGCTGACTGCAGGGTTGGATTCCGGTCAAGGGCATGTACCCGGGTGCAGGCGCCATCCCTGGCCCTGGTGAGGCCCCCATCTGTCTCCCTCGCGTGATGTCTGTCTCTCCCCTCGCTTCCCTGGAAGAACACCCTCGGGTGAGGATCGACCAAAGCAGCAGCAGCAGCAGAGAGTGGAAGGGGCACCGGAGGGGAAGCCAGGGTCCGACTCCGGGCTGTGTCCTCCGTGAGGGTTCATCCCCGGAGGTAGTATTCGGGCGCCTGCCCAGTACGTGCCTGTAGCCACAGCACGGATGCGGCAGACACCAGCCTGGCACACAGGAAGCCTGGCTGCTCCGGCTCCCGCAGGGCCTGCCGCCAGGGCTCCCCTCGCTGGGGCACTTCCTGCGGGCTCCCCTCTGTGCGGACACCAGGCAGGACACCCTGGGCCGGATCAGTCCTCCCAGGAGGCTGTGGCCGGAGCCCGCACCTGGGCCTCCGCCTGTGGGATGCGGGGTGACCTCGGTGACCCTGAGGAGGAAGCTGTCCCCAACAGGACACGGCAGAACCCGCCCGCACTCCCGGTGACACCGGGCAGGCCTGGACCCGCGTGGAAACGGTGAGGATGGGGCCAGCGAGGCCGCCCGCCCCGAACTCAGTGCCCAGCCTCTGCTGCCCCCACCCCGTGTCCTGCCCACGTGCACACGCCCTGTCCGGTGAGCTCTGCCTCTGGCTGCGGGTCACTCTGTGTGCGGGGAGGGTCCAGTCACCACCATGTTCGTTGAAAACCCTGTGTCCGCCCCGACCTATGAACCAGGAGGTCAGGGTTCAGTGAGATTCCCCATCCCCAGTGTGGGGCGTGCAGGAGGCAGCCAGTGATTCCCGCTCATCCTCGATGCTCCTTCCCCCCCCCTCCCCTCCTCTCTGCCATCAATATAACATATTGAAAGTAAGCCAAGCCCGGCTTTCCCACTGAGTCTGCCTGGTGCCCTCACTGAAATTTTATTTATATATTTTTTATTTCAGAGAGGAAGGGAGAGGGAGTGAGAAACATCAATGATGAGCGCACGCTCCCCAATGGGGATCCAGCTTGCAACCCGGGCATGTGCCTGACCAGAATCAAACCTGGGACCCTTCAGTCCGCAGGCTGGAGCTCTATCCTCTAAGATACACCAGCTACGGCATTTTGTGCAGCTTTTTGTAAATCAGACAGTCTCTCTTTAAGGAAAAGGCCTGTGATGATGGGGAGGGTGGGGCCAGAGGACCCAAGGCAGGGCAGGGGGATCCTGGGGCGTGGATCCAGCCAGGCCCCACACTGCAGACTGTGCTGATCCCGCGCACCGAGGCTGTGGGCCCTGAACCAGGACTCCCCGGGAGGCCCCACGTGCACCCAGCCCTTTGCTGTGTGGGTGCTCTGTGCCAGGAGCCCCAGGAGCTCTGCCCACGCCCTCCTCTGTGCCCTGAAACCTCATCCTCCACCCCACCCTCTGCTCTCTGCCCTGCACTGGACCCCGGCCAGCCCGGCCAGCCCAACCGCCTAACCAGACGGGGCACTTTCTCCCTCAGCCCTGGCCCAGCAGGCGTGGCCTCATGGGGCCGGGCTGGAAGGCTGGTGAGATGCCTGCTGCCCGGGCACATGGCTCGCAGCTGACGGATGCCAGGCCGGTGCTCCGTCAGAGCAGCCGAGGGCCCGGTGGCCGAGCCAGGGACCGACCGTCCTCCTCACGCCCATGAGCTGCTGGGCGGCGCCACCGCCAGCCCTCACAGCCGCAAAGCGTTTCCCGCCAATGACCGGCCCGGGTTTGCACTGCATGCCCAGCGGGTGCAGAGGCTGGGGCGGGAGGCGGGTGCGGGTGGCTGGCTTTAACAGCCGCCTCACTGAGGTTCCCTGGCTTCCAGCGTGGGCATCGCTGTGCAACCATCGCCACCTTCTACGTCCTGCTTCCCTGCTCCACGCTCCAGACCGGGGTCAGGGCCCTGAGGTCTGAGCGAGCTGGGCTGCCCACCCTCACCCACACCCCCATCCCCTCATCCACGCCCCCATCCCCTCACCCACGCCCCCATCCCCTCACCCACACCCCCATCCCCTCACCCACACCCCCATCCCCTCACCCACACCCCCATCCCCTCACCCACGCCCCCATCCCCACGCCCCCATCCCCTCACCCACGCCCACATCCCCTCACCCACACCCCTATCCCCTCACCCACATCCCCTCACCCATGCCCCCATCCCCTCACCCACACCCCCATCCCCTCACCCACGCCTCCATCCCCTCACCCACACCCCACCCCATCCCCTCACCCCCACCCCATCCCCTCACCCACACCCACACTCCCATCCCCTCACCCACACCCACACCCCCATCCCCTCACCCACTCCCCCCTTCCCGACCACACCCCCATCCCCTCCCCCACACCCCCATCCCCTCACCCACGCCTCCATCCCCTCACCCACACCCACACCCCCATCCCCTCACCCACACCCCATCCCCTCACCCACACCCCATCCCCTCACCCACAGGCCTTGCAGCACCAGCCAGGGCTGGGCTTCCCGCTCTGAGACCCCTGGGAGGAAGCAGGGACCCCGTTGCCCTTGAACAGCCGACCACAGAGCAGCCGCAGCCTGGACACAGGAGGACACACCGGGCAGCTCAGTGTCCTTTATTGCCACCTGCCCCCGCCGGGCACAGCCTGAGGCCGAGGCCGGAGCAGAGGCCGCCGGCTCGGGGGGGGCTCGGGGGGAGAACCCGCTATAGCAGAGCCTGAGGGCTCCGGCTGCTCAGCTCTGGGCCTCTCCGGGGAGGGGGCGCAGCGCGGCCACGTGGGCCACGGCTCCGCCTGGGCACGCAGTGGCCTCCGGGCGCTGAGTTTTGGCAAAACTAACTGTTGAAGGACTGGGGGCTGGCTGGCGGGGAGGGGCGAGGGGCCGCAGCTGTGGGCTCAGCTTCCCGCCCGAGGCCCGAGGGACATGGCGGGGGCCCCCGGGGCCAGAGGGCAGGGGCCCCAGGAGTCCGGACAGCCCAGTGCGCCCGCTGGACGCCCGCCTGCGTGGCCGGTGCAGGGGGGCGGGGGCCCGCCGCTGGAGGATGCTGGCCAGGCAGGAGCAGGAGGCCCGCGGGAGGAGGGTGGCCGTGGGTGCAGCCTCTGCGCCGTATCAGGACGGCACTTTGACGCCGAAGTACTTGCGGAGCTGCTCCAGGAACACGAAGGTGAGCACGGTGTGCGGCATGAGGCGGATGCCGGCCGGCACCAGGCCCTGGGGACAGAGCGAGAGCTAGGGGCCCAGCCCCACCCACCGTGCGCCCCGACCCGGCACCACCATCCTCCCACCACGCCCGACCCCGACCCGGCACCACCATCCTCCCACCACGCCCGACCCCGACCAGGCACCACCATCCTCCCACCACGCCCGACCCCGACCCGGCACCACCATCCTCCCACCACGCCCCTCTCGCCCAAACCTTGAAGAAGGCCAGCGGCCCGAGCCTCGCGGTCTCCATGGTGCAGTGCAGCACGCCCTGCAGGACGAGGGAGGCGGATGGAGCGCCCCCCGCACCGGGCACCCCCCCCACAGCACCGGGCACCCCCCACAGCACCGGGCACCCCCCGCACCGGGCACCCCCCCCACCGGGCACCCTCCCCACCGGGCACCCTCCCCACCGGGCACCCCCCACAGCACCGGGCACCCCCCACAGCACCGGGCACCCCCCCCCACAGCACCGGGCACCCCCCCCCACAGCACCGGGCACCCCCCACAGCACCGGGCACCCCCCACAGCACCGGGCACCCCCCCCCACAGCACCGGGCACCCCCCCCCACAGCACCGGGCACCCCCCCCACAGCCGGCTCAGGCCAACGTGCAGTGACCCGCAGCCAGTACACAGTGTGGCCGGACACTCAAACAGGACGAGGTGTGAGCCAAAAGGTCACGCTGCAGCCGCTGCCTGGCTGCCTGCTGATGCGGCAGAACCAGAGCCCGGGGAGGGGGGGCGCAGGCCGTGGGGACGCTGAGGGCGCGGGGCCCGGCGCCCAGGCCGTGCTCCTGTCAGGCGTCGGCCCCGCTGTCAGTACGTCAGCGGCTCTGACCCAGGGCCACACGGGCCAGGGCTCCCGGAGGCGGCCGCTGGGCGGGACCCATGGGACGGGGACGGGGAGGGGGACGGAGAGGGGGACGGGGACAGGGAGGGGGACGGAGAGGGGGACGGGGAGGAGGAGGGGTGCCGGGACAGGGTGGGGTGGGAGGACGAGGTGGGGTGGGGGGACGGGGACAGGGACGGGGTGGGGTGGGGGGACGGGGTGGGGTGGGAGGACGGGGAGGGAGACGGGGAGGAGGAGGGGTACTGGGACAGGGTGGGGTGGGAGGAGGGGGAGGGGTCGGGGTCGGGGTGGGAGGATGGGGAGGGTACAGGGACGGGGTGGGGTGGGGTGGGAGGACGGGGAGGGGGAGGGAGGCGGGCACTGGGTGGGGTGGGGGGAACAGCTGTCGGCCACCCCGGGGCCAGGACGGGTGCAGGGCAGAGCTCACCTGGTACTCGCCCTTGGAGTTCATCAGGCGGGTCTTGAGCACGTCCAGGGGCTGGCACAGGACCGTGGCACACCCGCCCTGGGGGGCACGTCGTCACCCCTCAGCCCTCAGCCCGCCCAGACCCTGTGAGTAACCCAGGGCTGCAGGGCACTGACCACTCCAGCCCGGCCGGCCGGGCACCCCGCTAGGGGTGTCAGCCCCGCCCCGCCCCGCCCCGGACTCACGGCGATGAAGCTGGCGATGAAGTGTGTGAAGATGCCGTCCGACAGGTACCCCGTGCTCAGGACCAGCTGCTTGGCCTGGTCGTAGCAGGACAGCTGTGGGTGCAGGGAGGTGAGGGAACAGCACCCGGTCACCAGGCACCCGTGGGCGTCACCGCACGCACTGGAGCTGCTGGGCAGGTGAGACCCAGGCCGCGAGGGGCTGCCCACAGCCCTCCCCTGCCCGCCTGTGCCCACCTCCCAGTGCCCCCCGGTGACCCCACCTTCCCCTGTGGTGTCTGGGGGCGCGGCAGGCAGGGACCCCGAGGCTCCCCCCGCAGAGCCCACCTGGCCCACAGTGACCAGCATCCCCCGGCTGGAGGCCATGGTCGCGCCGGAGAACAGCTTCCTCGGACCCTCTGGGGAGAAGCGGCACCGCCACGTCACCGGCTGCCCCCTGGACGCTGCCTTCCCCCGACTCCTGGGGCTCTGGGCTCCCGGCGGGGGCTGCCTGGCTTCCACTGGTCCTGCCCCAGCCCCTGCCCAGCCCCTTCCTGCTCCTGCCCAGCCACTGCCCAGCTCCTGCCCAGCTCCTGCCCCAGCCCAGCCCCTGCCCGGCTCCTGCTCCTCACCTTCACGGGCCACGCGATACAGGCCGTCCAGGGCGTGGGCGTAGCTGCCAGGACACAGAACGGACCCACGTGAGGCCCCCCGACCACAGCTCCCTGGGGGTGCCCAGGACGAGCCCCGAGACCCTCCAGGAAGCACGGGGGAAGGGGAGCCAGGCCTTCCGGAGCCAGAGCCATCTCCTCCCTCGGGGGCCTCGGCCCCAAGATCCCAGAGACCCACAGGGAGCCCCCGCCCCAGGCCGGCCCTGGCTGATCCCAGGACAGGAGGCCCCCCCCCCCCGCACGCTGTGCCTGGGGGGCGGGAGGGGGTGCACAGCGGGCCGGCTCAGAGCCACCTCCCTGGAGCTGACGCTGAGACGGGGCTCCCTGGGCATCTGTGCACACCCAGCCTCAGTGACAGTGCTCGGACACCACAGAAAGCAGTGCCTTTATCACCGGAAACCCAGCTCCTGCCCCAGAAGAGCCCAGCGCAGGCCTCGGCCGACCCCACGGAGACGCGGGCGAGGCGGGGAGCAGACCGCCACCAGCCCTGGTCCCACCCCGCTCTGCTCCCCGTGGCCTCAGTCCCGGCCGAGCCCCACGGTGGCCCCAGCCGCCCGGAGGGCAGAGGGGCCGGACTCACTTCCGGCGCTGGTCCTGGGGCAGCTTCATGTCGTTCTGCATCCTGAAACACGAGGAGGGGCTGAGCAGCGGGCCCCTGGCCCCCCCAGGCTCGGCCGGACCCTGACCTCGGGGCCACTGACCTGACGTTGACCATGTCGGCGGGGGTCCCCACAAAACCTCCGATGAAGCCTGGCAACAGACCAGACAGCTGGTGACCCGTCAGTGCCCCACCGCCCCGCCCTGCGCCCCACGCCCCACTCACCGCTGATGGCGCCCAGCAGCACCTTCTTGTAGAAGGGCAGGGGCCCCTCGCTGCCCTCGGCCAGGCGGTCCCGCACCGTCTCGTAGATGGCAAACCGAGTCAGCGAGTAGGTCATCTGGGGGAGGGGCCGGCTCAGAGCGTGGGGGGGGGGGGGGGGGGGGGAAGGGCCAGGACAGGGCAGGCTGGACGTGGACCCCTGGGGCGCCCCCCCCAGCTGGCTGGGCGCACGGGCATCACCCCGACCACGGGGACGTGGAGCCCTCCCAAGACCGCACGCCAACCAGTGGCTGAGCCAGTCTGCCTCGGTTTCCCCGTCTGTAAGTGGCACACCCCACGCCCCACGTCTCCGCCCACCCAGGGCGCCAGCTCCCGGGCCCTGGGTTCCTCCCTCCTGAGCAGCCTCACAGGAGGCGGCGGCTGCGATGGCCAGGGCGCCCCCCGCCCTCCGCCCTGGGGGCCCGGCGGGCACCTGCCGGCACAGCGAGGCGCTCAGGCCGTTGTAGAGCGCCAGCACGCCGTCGGAGCGCACCACCTGCAGCGCCATGCCCGTCATGCCCATCCTCGCCTCCTGCTGCGTCTGCAGGTGCACCTGGGGGCGGGGGCACACCGCTGAGGCCTCTCCCAGCCCACGCTGCCCACCCCCCAGCGCCGCGCCTGCCGCCACCTACTGTTTTACCAGCCACACCAGGGGACTGGCACACCCACCAGGCACCGACACCTGCTGTGGGTGGGGATCAGCAGCCCCATTTTACAGATGAGGAGACTGAGGCAGGACCCGGCAGGGTGACTCCAGAGCCCCACTGTTCATCCTGCTCACTTCTCAGGGGACAGAATTATGGGGACTCAGAAGCACGGGGCCTAGGAGAGGCAGGTGGGGCTGGGGCAGAAGGGAGAGGCTGGCATGGGCAGGTCGTTGACCCGTGCCTCAGGTTCTCTCCTTGTGCTGTGAGGGTGAGGGACTCAGTGGATACCCTCCCTTCAGGCTCTTCCTGGGCCTCCGGGGATGGAGAGGCCTGTGCCCAGCTCAGGGACACAGCTGTGTCCTCCCACTGCCCGAGCCAGCTGGGCAGGACAGCGGGCACTGGGCCTGCGGTCAGGGCGGCCACGCGGGCAGCACCTCCCGTCCAGGCAAGAAGAGGCTGAGGATCATGTCAGGACATGAGACAGGAAGATCCAGGAGCTTTAAAATAATTTCCCCAATGGCCACGCGGAGGTAAAACCCCAGCCAGGCCTCCTCCACCCCTGGCAGGAGGCCATGTGCCCCGGGCACCTGCCTCTCCTGCCTCAGCCTGGCAGCAAACAGCACCTGGGGGCAGGCAGGAAGGGCAAGGGGCAGAGACGCCGGAGGGGCCTTGGACTGTGGACTCTGCAGCCCCTGGAGGCTGTGCCTGCTCCTGGCCAGACCCTGAGCGTCGGGGCCCCTGTGAGGGGGTGGGGACCTGCGTGGGCATCCAGAAAGGGTGAGGGAGGGCTCTTCACCCCACCAAATGCACCTTCCGGCTCACTGCTGGGCCCCTGGTGGTCAGCGCACCCTCCAGGCCCGGGGCCACTCCCAGGCCAGCCAGGTCTCCGCGGCAGCTGGCTGCCAGCCTCACTTCTGCTCACCTGATACTCGCCCTGGAATTCACCAGGTGGCATCTAACTCACTAATCAGAGGCAATCCCCTCCCATTAGAAGGGCTGAAGCAGCAGCATGCCCACAGGCAGGGGACGCCTGGGGGCGGCGCCCGGTCAGCCTGGCCACAGGAGTCCATTTCTCCCAGGAGGCCACGTGGGCACAGACACTGGGGGGGCAAGGCAGGGGTGGCCGCCCCTTGCCCACAGCCCCACGTGACACAGGGCCATGCCCTGGGCGGCCTGTGGTTGGTCTCCGGCGCTTTCTCCTTTGTTCTTTGTGGGGAGGCAGAGCAGAAAACCACCCCCCGGGCTGGCCCTGGAGACAAGGAAGTTTTATCTCATTCTGCCCTGTAAGCAGAGCAGCACCGTGTGCACAGAGGCCGAGGCTGCCGGGAGGCACCCGCCAGTCCGGGAGGAAGCAGCTCAAGGCGGGGGCGCCGGTGCCATATCCGCCTCCCCCTCCCTCCGCCGGGCAGGGGGCCGCTGGGATCGAGCCCTGGGTGCGGCCCCCCCCCCCCCAACTGTCACCGGGCGGACAACATTCTCCGAGGAGCGGGGGCCAAGTGGCCGCCGAAGGTCACGGGCAGCGAGGCGCAGGGCTGGGAGGGACAGGCCTCCGGGGCCGGGGCCGGGGCGCCCACCCCGGTCAGGCCTGGGGCCTCCGTCCATCCCGGGCGGCGGCGGCGGCGGGCGGGCAGGAGCCCGTGGGCTGCGGTCCCGGGGCCGGGCCGGCGGGCCGCGGGGGCGGGGGCGGGATGGCGCGGAGCCGGGATGGCGGAGCCGGCCCGCCGGCGCCCTCACCTTGAGCAGGTCCAGCGGGTGCGTGCAGCAGGCGGCGCCGCACGAGGCCAAGCCCCCGAAGTACCAGCGCGACACGCGCACCTCGGCCGCCATGCCCGCGGCCGCGCCGGTTGCCGGCCTCACCCGCCCCCGCCCGGACCCCGAGCCGACCCGGACCGCCGCGCCGCCCCAGCGCCGGGTTCAAAGCGCGTCTGCCACCCGCGCCCGGAGCAGCCAATACGCCCGCGCGGCTCGGGGCGGGACCGCATCCGGGGCGGGGCCGGCGAGACCACGCCCCCGGGTCTTAAAGGGGCCGCGGGGCCGTGGGCTCCACTTCCCAGTTCTGCAGGCCGCCCCGATGCCCCAGGTCCCCCCGCCCGAGGGCACGTGGCTCTGCCCCGCCCGCCCCGCCCCGCAGGTCGGGGTCCTCCCCGGGCACGTGCAGCTGCAGAAGCAGCAGATCCCCTGGGACCAGGCTGCGGTTCCAGTAAAACCAGGGGCGAAAGGCAATCCCGAGACCAGACACCGCCTCCACCCGCGCTTCCCGGCCAAGTGCGGCCTCAGGGCTCCTCTGACCGGCCCCCCCCCCCCCCCCCCGGGCTGAGTCCTGGGAGACGGACCTGGGTCCCAGCGCCAGGCTCCGGCCCCCAGGCTACCTCCGCAGGGCGCCTGCCCCTGCGGGGCCCAGCGGGAGGCACCCACCTGCCTGTGGGCTCCCGGGCTCACCCTCCCCCTCTCCACCCCCACCCCCACCCAACAGTAGGAAGTGCAGGCGGGCCCCTTGCCCAGAGGGAAGCCCGGGTGCCCATTGCCACCTTCGGGCAGATCCCGGGGACCCAGGCTGAGGGGGCACAGCCAGACCCCTTCCCTAGGAAGGACCTGGGGCTCGACCACTGCACCCCGAGCCCAAGGGAGAAGGGGAGGTCCCCTGAACCCACAAAGCCTGGCCTCGGCCTCTGGGCACCGCCAGTCTCTAGACGTGAGCAAACCCGCCCTCTATGGGACTGAAGTGGCCACTGGATGACTCAGGCGCCTCGGACCCTGAGGTCATCCGCTGGGCAGTGAGGAGCCAGACGGTGTCGGGCTGGGAAGTGCTGGGGTCCAGGGGGCGGGGGAGGGGCAGCAGCCTGGTCTGGAGGGGGAGGAGGGGCTCAGCTGGCGGGGCGGCTCCATGCCCAGAGGTTGCTGGTTTGATTCCTGGTCAGGGCGTATGGAAGGCAGCCCGTGGGGTCCTCACATGGATGCTTCTCTCTCCCTTCCTCTCCTGGGGCGTGGACTTGATTTTAAGGGTGTCAGGTGCAAACCACCCAGAGGCTGGTGGGGGAGGAGGGAACCAGAGGGGAAGGCAGGGAGGCGGAGCGGCTCTCACAGCTGATCCTCAGGCTCCAAGATCAGCCAGAGCCGCCCTGGCCAGAGCCCGGTGAGCGCCCTCCCCAGGCACCAGGGCTGTGGGTCGACGCCGGTCAGTGCACCCGGTCAGCGCACCCATGGGGTCAGCCAGTGGAATGCACAGGGGTGGGAGCAGCCCGTGTTCCTCTCTAAATCAATTGTTGGCAAACAGCACCAGAGCCAGCAGCCCGGTGGCTGCGAGGCAGGGGGCGTGGCCCTGGCAGGCATGCCTGGGAACGGAGGGGCCGGTGGAGCCCACACCTGCCCCACTAGCCTTGGGATCCGCCCGGTGAGGTGCTCAGGCCCTGAGGAGCAGGGGCCTCTGACGTGGAAGTGGGAGACCTCCAGGGTCCCTCACCGTGACAGCCCAGGAAGGGGCCGGCCGCGGGGTGTGAGGGCGGGACTGGGCCCTGCTGGCAGGGACCCCCACCCCTCGCACTCTGGGGACCGGCCTCAGATTGGGAATTGCTGGCAGGAGGCTCAGCAGCTTGGACACTTTAAGAATAAAAATGCAAGAAATGAGGAACCTTTGTAATAATATGAACAATAAAGTTGGATTTAAAAAAAAAAGAATAAAAATGCAAAGAGCAGCATCTGAAATGAGTTCCTGGAAAAGGCGGTCAGAATCCGGGAGGTGGGCACACAGGGACACTGGGTCAGGGATGGAACGCCGAGCGGGCTTCTTGGCTGGATCCCAGCCCGGCCACAAGCCCGGGGCTGACGCAGCGACAGGCACCGATGAGGAAGGGCTGCCTGCCAGGCTGGGGGGGGGGGGGGCTGCCTGCCAGGCCGTGGGGGGGGGGGCGGGGAGAGAACGGGGGTGCCTGGGGTCTGTCCTGGAGCATCTGCACTCTCCCTGGAGCCCGGCAGGGAGGGGCCATGGGGGTGGCCAGGCAGACACCGGGGTCTGGAACAACCAGTGGGGCAGGAGGCAGCTCCCTCTCAGCGGTGCCCTGTGACCTTCCCACCAGGCTGGGCAGAGCAGGAATGCTAGTAAGTCCTACCGGGATCTCATAAGGTGCTGGTGGGCACCAGCGGGGAAGCCGGGACCCACAGATCCCCCTCCCGGTGCAGAGCCCATGGCCAGGGCCACACCCAGGGGCACAGGTGTCAGGAGCCCCCAGGCCTGACACTCCTGTCCAGTCACCTGCAGCTGGTCCTGGGAGCCAGGGTGGCGGGCAGGACCCCCAGGGCCCTGAGGCCGGCTGCAGGGCACCAAGTAGACGCAGAGCAGACACAGGTGTTGGCCTCGCCCGGGTACAGAAGGCACTTGGCCGGGGCACCCCACTGCGGCCCCTCCCTTTGAGCAACTGCCATGGGACAAAGCAGAGGCCCCATCACCCCACTTGCCCCTGGCTCCGTGGGAAAGCAGGACGAGGTCCCCAAGCTCAGCCCACTTCCTTCCCAGCCCCCAGAGCAGGCGGCTCAGCAGGCCCTGCCTGGCCTCAGGTGGCCCAGCAGCCACTGGGGTGGGGGGGGAGGGGAGGCACACCCAGAGTCCTGCTGATGGACAATCATTAACCCTGTGGGCGCCCAGGAACTCTCGGGGCCAGGGGGCAGCCTCCCCACCTCCTTAGACCACGGGGTCCCGTGGGAGCACGTGGGGGGTGGGGGGGAGCTGCCCCACCAGAGGCCGCCTCCCGGACACAGCGCCCCCTCGAGTCCCACAGAACGTGCAGGTCATTCTTCCAACAGGCAAAGGAGGGGTCCCTGTCCGGCACTGGGGACACCCCGCGGCCCCTCCCTCCCACTCTGGCCCAGGCCCAGGCCCAGGGGGCTCCTGGGAGCGAGGCCCGGCCGTCTTCCCTCTGCGGCTGGCGCTCTCCACAGCCCCCCCTGCCGGCCGGGGCGGGAGCTGCACACCCAGCTCCTGGTGCAGATCCGGTATCAGCCACGCAGCTGGTGGGCAGGACGGTTGTGGGGGTCTCAGGACCCAGCGACCGCCTGCAGACCCCCATCCCTCGGCCCAGGAACCAGAGGCAGCGCGCACGGCCCAAACCATGTATTTTCTCAGCGGCCACCAGGGGCGCATGGTGAACCGGGGCGGCCAGAGCCAGGCCGGTGCCCGGGCGCCGCCCCCTGCTGCTGCCCGCTCGGTAGGTCCATGCCTGTCCCAGTGGCAGGCGGGTGTGGCCTCTGCTCCGAGGAGGCGGAGCCTGGTGCTGGGCGGGCGGCGGGCCTCTCGGGGCCCAGGGACCCTGTGCACAGTTCTCGGGGAGCCTACTCCAGGACCACGGTGCCGCCCACCGCCTCCAGCGCCGCCTTGATCTTCTCCGCCTCGGCCTTGGCGACGTTGGCCTTGATCTCCTGGGGCAGCGACTCCACCAGCTTCTTGGCCTGTGGAGAGCGAGCCAAGTCAGACGCGCAGTCCGACGCCGCCCGCCGGGCGCCCTGCCCCCCGCCCCCCAGGGGCACCCCCCGCACCTGCACCAGGTTGATGCCCTGGACGTAGTTCTTGATCTCCTTGATGAGCTTCACCTTGTCCACCGGCTTCGCCTCCGTCAGGCGGACGGTGAAGTGCGTCTGCTCCTTCTGCTTGGGGATGTCTTCCTCCACCGCCTGGGGGGTGGGGGGGCTGGGTGAGCACGGAGCGGGCGCAGGCACCTTCGCTCCCAGGCTGCGGGTCCTGCAACCCCAGAGGCAAGCGCCCCCCCCCATTCCCGCCCGATTCTGGCGCCTCATCCACGCCCCGGTCAGACCGGGTTCCACAGCCCAGAGCTCTCTCTTCCCAGCTCTCCAGGGGCCGTGCTAAGACTGCCTCCCGCCCCGGCCCCCAAAACTCATCCCTTTACAGCTGTACTCAGGAGACAAGGCAGAGCGCCCCTAAAAGTGCTTTGTGGGCGGAATGACGTTACAGAGGAACGGTGGCTTCCAGCCCCGGCCAAGCCAGAGCCGTGTCTCAGACCAAGGACACCAGCTCAGCCCCTCCCTCGACCAGCGGCCGGTGGGGAGCCCCCGAGATGGGAAGAGTTGGGGTCGTGCTTTTGGGGGGCAGGCAGGGCCCCGTGGAGAGAGCACAGGCCAGAACCTGCCTCTAGCATGAGGGAAGGAGACACAAATGCGGCAAAACCGTTATTCCTCAGGCTGGGGAGGGTGTGATGATTTCTACTGTGGATAACTTGAGATTTTAAAAAAAGACAAACACTGGAAAACACACACATACAAAAAAGCAACAACAAAACCCCACAGGTGAGCGTGTGGCCTCCTGTCTGCGGGTTTCCCCAACCCCAGGGAGCTGCCCACTCCTCTCCAGCCCGGACACGCTCGCGGCCTCCTGCCTGGGAATGCCTTGCTCTCTCCCTCAGCTCCTCCTGTCTCCTCTCACCACGGCCTTCCCTGAACCTGTAACCCTCCCCGCCCCCAAGCGTCTTCCCTACTTCCCCCCAAGAACTTAGGAAGCCCTGCGAGTCAACATAACTCCTCGTGTCCTGTTCCTCCCATCGACTCCCTGTTCCCCTCCCCTGGACACACGGTCCCCAGTGGGCAGGGAGAGGCCCAGGGGGCTGACCAGAGCTTCGGCCGGAGACACACAGAGGTAGGGGGGTGTTGAGTGGCACAGGACAGAGATGAGGGACAGAGAGAAATCGGGAAGTGAGGGACGCTGGGAACTGGGCGCCAGAGAAGCAGGTCTCTGCGGAGGCGTGCCTGGCTCACCTCGGGGGCGGCAGCGGCGGGGGCGGCAGTGGGCATGGCGCCCCCCATGGGCATGAGCCCCACATCCTGGATCTTGAGCGTTTTCTGTGGGGACAGAGGAGAGCAGCCTCAGACGCCAATGGTCACCCCCAAACATGCGCAGGGACCAGCCTGGCACAGCCTTGCATTGCATTCAGGGAGCAGGCACACTTTCCACAACAGACCAACCTCCCCCCCCCCCCCAAAAAAAAAAAACACTCCAGGAGCAAGACACAGGCCCGACCCCGCTACCAGGCCCGGCTGGGGGTACCTTCAGGAGCTCATTGAGGTCTGAGATCTCCAGGAGCGTGAGGCTGGCAATGTCCTGGACCAGCTGCTGGATCTTGGGGGGGTACTCCTTGGGGGCGTTGTCTAGGGGTGCACCGGCGAGGGCCTCTCCCCTCCGATGGCTGCTGCATCGCATCAGCCGCACGGCGCTGACACGTGGAACCTGTTGCCTGGACCCCGTTCCAAGAGCTGTCAGCCCAGCACCGGTGGTGACCGGCCGTCCAGGCAGGTAGGTGCCATGAACTCAGGTCTAGCCCCTTGGTCCCAACCCAGGTTCTCAGACTCTAGGGTCCACAGAGCAAGGGGGTTTCCCAGCTCCTTTATATTAGTTATCCTCTTCACAAGCCTCAGAAACCCACATCATCATCATCATTATTGTTATTCTTGCAGGATGTTGCCCCTAACAACTTCCTGGTTTGAATGAACGGCAGCAGCTCACGGGGAAATGGAATCACGTAAATGCATGCTGCTGCACAAAGCTTTCAGAACCCGGAGCGCCGGATGCAATGCTGGGGGTCCTACACGTCCCTGGGCTGCGGGGGAAACTGAGGCCCGGGCAAAGGCGGAAACCCTTCCCGTGTGATCTGAGGCCACCCGGCACTCTCTGCGGCCCGCACGGGGGTGTGTGTCTCCGCACGGGGGGGAGGGTGTCTCCGCTTCCCTTTTGGGACCCGTCGGGCCTCCCGCCCTCTGCCCCAGCCTGAACCACCGGTGGCCGGCTGAGGACTCCCACTCTGCCCGCCCGGCCCTCGGCAGCCCGCGGTACCTGGCGAAGCGGAGCGCGGCGCCCCTAAGCCCTAGACAGGGCCCCCATAGGGGGCGAGCAGCCGCCGGCAGCATCGCTCCACCGGCGGGAAGGTCACACGAGGCTCCACGGAGGAGGGACGCTCTAGCTGCCGGAGCAGCCGAGTACACGCGCTGGGAAGGACGCTCTAGCCGCCGAGCATATGAGTTGGAACGGACGCTCTAGCTGTCTGGGCCGCCGAGCATAGGAGCTGGGGGAGGACGCTCTAGCCGCCAAGGCCGCCGAGCATGTGAGTTGGGGCTGACTCTCTAGCCGCTCCTCGCGCTCGCCTCCTCTCGTTCGCCGAGATTACCCACAAGGGACCGGGGCCTCGGGAGGCCAGTGGAGGCCGAGGCTTCGCGCGGGCTCCGGCCGAGTCGGGGGCGGGCCCGGTCCGTGCAGAGCAGCGCAGCGCAGCGAGCCCTCGGGAGCCTCGCCCGTTTGCTCGGCGTCCGTGGTCGCCGCGCGGCTGCTCCCCCGCCGGCCCGGAGGGAAGGAGCACGTTCTGTCCTGCGGGGCAGCCGCCCCGGGAGCGAGGACGCCCCCTTCCGCGGGTCCGAGCGCGCGTCCCGGGCTGATAGCCTGGAAGGGGAACCGGGCGGCGAGCTAGCAGGTCCCGGGAGAAGAGGATTTATCAGCCCTGGTTCTGTCTCCGGACACCGGACCCTCCGCCTCCTGGTCCAGCCCCCGGACCCGGGCTGCAGCGCCTGCCCGAGGGCCTTGGCCTTGCTCTGTAGATGCAGCCGGAGTAAGGGGGTTCCTGTTGGCGCTCAGAGCCAGCGCGGAGCGGATTGGTCAGGAGCAGGTGCTGCCCCTCCGCCCCGCACCTCCTGGTCCCGGCCCCGCCTTGGGCCTGCGCCCCGGAGCCTCTGTGCCTGTTAGCTAGTCCGGCCCCGCGGAAAGGAGCCAGGGCCGCAGTCACTTGGCGGCTTGGGTGTTCCAGAGGCTGAACTCTGGATGCAAGCTGCGGACTCCGACATTGGACATTTCCCTCCAACTACAGCTCCTGGCGTTCAGTCGCCCGGAGCCGCGGGCCCTGTGAGGGCGTGGACAGGCTGGCCTGCGGGGACGCCCATACTCCTGACCAGCACCTTTCCCCTGAGCAGACACGTGGTTCTTGTTGGAGAGACTTTATTATGGCCGATCCATTCCGTCTACTGGGGCACTGGGTGACATGACAGCTCAGAAGCAGAGAAGCTGGAGACTGGCCCCCCTTCCTGCGGGGGCCAGGAGCTCCTGCTGACAGCTGTGGGGGGGGGGGGTCCTAGAGAGCTGCGGGGGGCAGAGGGACCTGACACCCAGGCTGGGGCTCCCCGCCCCCAGGCCCGGCCATGGGGAAGCAGGTCGGAGGCCAACTCAGGGACAGGAGGGTGGAGCCGGGGGTGAGCACAGGTGAGGACAGAAAGGCGAGCTGGGGGCGGGCACTACATGGAGGAGGGGAGAGCCAGGAGGCACAGGATGCTAGTCAGACGGAGGCGGCGGTCTCGGGTGTAGTGTTCCTCTGGGCAGCGCGGGCCGGGCGGGTCAGTCGAAGGAGATGAGCTGGGCTTCGCTGCCCTGCACCTGCAGCCCCTGTGCGGGCGGCTGCTGGGCCGCGGGCGGCGGCGGCTGGGGAGGGCCACCAGCAGGTGCCATCTGGGGGACAAGAGGCCATGGGTGCTCCTCCCCAGGCCTAGCTCCCCTCCACTGGCCGCTCCAGAACACCCACCAGCCTTGTCCCTGGTCCCCCAGCCCAGGGTGCACCCCCTGCTCCCCGGCTTGTCATGGGCTCTGAGCTTCACGCCCAGCAGGGCCCACCCCAGAACCCCCACAGCTGAGCTGCACGTCCACGTGGTTTGCTCCCACGGATGCTGCAGGCACCAGGGTCTGTGGGCCCAGCGGCATCCCCAGCTGGACCGCCTCTCCTCCCAGGACAGCCCCCTGCGGGGGCCGGGGCCCAGGCCTGGGGGGGGCTCACCTGCTGGTACATGGGCTGCTGCCCCGCGATGTAGGGCTGCGGCTGGGGCTGCAGCGAGGCGTCCTGGCTGGGGAGGGCGGCCATGAGGTTCTGTGGGGAAGGAAAGGAGCCTGTACCCAGACCGGCGGGGGACCCATGGGGGGTGGGGGTCAGAAGGGCTGAACCTGCCCGCGTGCCCCCAGCCTCCCCCGGGACCCGCCCTCTGGATGCCCGCGGTCTCACCTGCATGCCGTAGGGCTGGTAGCCCATGGACACAGCCTGGGTCCCCATGTAGGCCACGCTGGCGGGCTGCGGGGGCTGCGAGGGCACCGTCTGTGGAGGGAAGGCCTGTGAGGAGCTGAGAGGGGCTGGGCTGGCGCCTCCCGGGCCTCTGGGGAGGGAGCGGCCCCGCCTACCTGGTAGCCCTGAGTGGGGGTGGGCTGGTAGGAGGAGTAGGCAGGGCTGGCGGCGGGTCCCGCCGGGCCCTGGGGGGCCGTCTGTGCGCCAGTGACCGCTGCTGAGTACATGTAAGTGCTCACCACGCTGGGATCTGGAGGAAGAGCAGTGAGGGGGAGAGCCCAGAGTTGGGAGCATTTCTCCGAATTTTCCTTTGTTCATTTTGGCTGCCTCACCAACGGGAGCAGGACATCACACAGAGGGGAGCGGCCCCCAGCGAGGAGTGGTCAGGAATGAACCCCACTGTGTCCAGCGGAGGAAGGACACTGCAGGCCGAGCAGCTCCGCCCACACCTCTGAACCCGGAGCTGGGTCAGGACAGCAAACGGCTGCTACAGGCCTGGCATTGCTGAGCTTTCTGGATCCTGGGACCCAAGTCAGTCACCACGGGGGACGGGGCGAGGGATGAGGGATGGGAGCCAGAGCCTCCAGACCGGAAGGTGTCAGAGTGAACGCACTTGTGTGTGTGTGTGTGTGTGCACGGAGAGCAGACGAGGTAGAACGTTAACATTTGGGGAATCTCTGCACCATTCATTCTCTTAGCTATTCTGTCAAACAAGCAAAAATAAAACGAAACAAAAAAGTAATGGTCTGGGGCTCATGTCGGCTGGTTACCTGCTCCAGCCCCAGGCACACTGGGGTAGGGGCTGCCGGCGGCCGTGGCCGGCTGGCTCATGTACACGGTGTGCATGGGGGAGCCCTCCACCGAGCTTGCCGGGCTGTAGGTCCCTGGGTAGCTTGTGGGGCCCGAGGGCTGGTACAGCACGCCGCCCGCCGTGGGCATGGCCTGGAGCTGGGGACAGAGAGACAGCTGTCGAGGGGCTCCGGGCGGCTATGGGGCAGCAGGAGCGGGAGGGGCGGGGCGCCTGCCTGGGCGTAGGGAAGGGAGAAGGCGGGCATCTGGGCGCGCATCTGGATGGTCTGCTTCTGCTGCTCCAGGCGCAGCTGCCGCTCCTTCTCCTGCTCCTGCAGGCGCTGGATGGCCAGCTGCCTCTGCACCTCCAGGTACTCCTGCGGGCACAGAGCCGTCAGCGCCCGCCGTGCCCGTGCCCGCAGCCCGGCGCCGGGTGGCCCCGCACCTGCTTCTTCTGCCGCATGATCTCCAGCTTCTGGGCCAGCTGGATCTGGCGCTGGCGCTCCGCCTCCTCGGCCGCCCGGCGCAGCTTCTCCCGGTGCTCCTCCCGCAGGGCGCTCAGCGCCCCCCGCGCGTCCCGGATCTGCGCCAGCTTGTCCTGCAGCCCCTCGTAGTACACTGCAGGGCAGAGGGCGTGGCTGGGGACCCCTCCTTCGGCGGCCGGGACCACCCCAGCCCAGGGCCGCCCGCCCCGCCCCCGCCCCGCAGCCGGGGGCACGCACGCCTGCGCTCGTCCAGCTGGTTGAGCAGCTCCAGCAGCTGGGGGTGCATGCTGTTGATGGACTGGAAGAGGGACAGCACGGCCGAGTCGTTGGTGATGCTGCGGCCGCGCACGTGGTTGCTCTTCATGCGGTTGACGAAGGTGCTGACGGCGTTCTGCAGGGCCTTCAGGAACTGCGCGTGGCTCTCCTCCGACTCCCCGTTCTGGAACTGCTGTGGGACGGCACACGGGGGTCCCGCTCCCCAGTCAGGATCTGCCCCCGGGCAGCCCGCCCGCACCAGCCCCGCCGAGGCGAGCACCTCAGGCTCCCGTCAACGAGGGCAGAGCGGCGGAGCCCCCGGCCGAGGCCTGGCATCTGCTCCCGCGGCAGCGGGTGGCGCTGGGCACAGGTCTGCTGGGCGGGCAGCGGGCCCAGCCGCCTCTGGTCACTGGGCACAGCGCCAAGGCTGCGTTGTGGCCGAGGAGGCGCTTACCTCGCTGAAGAGGCCCCCGGAGGAGGCGAGGGGCTGGGGGTCCGTCTCCGGGAGGGAGGTCTGGAAGACACGGCAGGGTGAGGGGCCGGCCGGGCCCCGGGGCCCCCCAGGCCCGGAGTGCGGCTCACCTCCACCGCGGCCGCGGGGGCGGCGTGCGCCTCCACGGGCTGGGCCGCGGGCTCCGCCTGGGGCGCGGGGGCCGAGGGCGTGGGGCTCTTCCGGGCCTCCTCCTGCTTCTTCTCCCAGTAGTTCCGGTTGAGGTACCGGGCGAGCTGGGGGGCAACGGGAGGTCACGCAGGGGCCAGAGGTCACCCGGGCCGGGCTCAGGAGGGGAGCCGTGCACAGGGCACTCACCTCGGGGTCCATGTCCTCAGCCAGCGGCGCCGACGAGTTCTGGGGGGGAGGGGCCGAGGTCACAGGCCACCGCACAGCGCCCACCGCCCGCACTCAGGGCCCGATGAGCCCAAGGGGCTCCGACACGGCTGACAACATGCAAGGGCCCCTGCCCACCCTCCCACCAGCCGTGCACATGGTTCCGATGGGCGGACGGCGGGGCTGCGCTCGGCCCCACCCCTTCACTGAGGAGCGAGGCTGGCCCCAGAGTCACCAGAGTCAGCCCGCTGGCCGGGTGAGCTCGGCCGGCTCCCGCCGGGACAGACGGACGGGCGGCAGCACGGCCTCTGTGCCGCACAGCGGGCACCTCAGGCCCAGGCTGAGGGGGGAAGGCCGGGCTCTCACTGGGGGCTCCCAGCCTCCCCGGGCCGGGAGTGAGAGCAGGGAGGGGAGCGGGTGGGAGGGAGGCCAGGGGGCAAGGCGCTGTCCTTTCTGGGCAGCCCGGCCAGTGGGGGCGCAGGGGACTCACCACGGGGGACGCGTACAGGCTGCTGGCGGGGGGTGCGGACGAGGTCACGGGCGTGGGCTCCGCCTTGGG